TCACTATATGGCAGCACATAATGTTTTTTTTTCTGTAAACTACGACAGTTTGGGACTTTTCACTTCACAAAAATGATATCTGACAAACCAATTTCGCTAAAAATAAGTAAATAAATAAAGAATTAATTAAATTAATATTTAATGTATCAAGCACCCGAAGTATCTTTGCAAGTGAACGATCTGTATTCATATTATTGATGTCTTAGTTTAATAACACCAGTTTCTTAATCATCAAATCAACACATTATATTGTGGTCTTCCTTCTTACAAATCCTTCAGTGGGGCCGAGCCTGGAGCTGTATGTGTATGCGTGGTATCATATATCATGGCCTGGGATCCATATGATGTCCTCCCCATTAATCCTCTGACCCTGGCGCTTTCCAACTTCACCCCGGGTTACTGTATGTGCATACAATCATAACCCCATGTGGGTTCTGGAAATCTCCCCAAACGTTGGTTCAGTGCTCCAGGGTACTTGTACCGTCCAGGAGGAACCGTTCCAGCTTCGCTGGCCTCCAAATTAATCTAAAAATAGATTATGTTTACTTTCAGCTGTGATATCTATGTTATGAAAAATTGAGAAAAAATACTTGGAAGTTCAGTTATCTCTCAATAGATGGAGAAAGAAATAATAAGGAAAAATACTTGGAAGTTCAGTTATCTGTCAATAGATGGAGAAAGAAATAATAAGGAAAAATACTTGGAAGTTAAGTCATCAGAGGCGACTTCAGGAATGAACTCTTGTTGCAGGTACTTACACAAAAAGCGCTCTGATATCCAAAGTTGCCGAATTTTTTATTTCACTGATTTTTCTAAAACTTATATTACTGTCAGATGCAAAAATCAGAGTGGACAAATTTGGACATTTTTAATTACACTTATTTTAATTTTTTTTACATAGTAAGTTCATCTACAATCTATAATATTTCCATATAAATAATTATATTTTAGCTCATTTGTGGCCGTAGTTTGGTGACCCCTGGTCTAAAGTAATGTTTTTTTTTGTCTTCCCGTGGAAAAGGGAGCTGTAAATTTACTCACAGTATGTGAAGTTAGACATCTATCTTTTCTACTGGCAGTCAGATGAACTCTTGAATTAATGAACTCTATTGCATTTAATTGAGAATTAGCAGTAACGTGAGTAGCACTTGTCACTCTAAGTAAGGCGCTCGTACTAAGTAGCTAACGTGAGATTTATTCATTCTGAAACACAATATCAGCCGATTCAGTATGGAACACAGTCACGAGAAATACAGTCTGGAACAGATGATCACAGAGAGTGTCTTCAGAACCAATTTTGCAGGAGAGGTGACTGTCCGTTGTGACACATAAGTTATTCATTTTCACTATTCCCCACCCCTAAATAAAGATTGTTCAACTTATAGTACATCTGTGTTCAACATTTCCTTATTTCTTACGAATTAAGTTAGTCAGAGACCTAGAATTATTTCAAAGTAGATATCTTGAATAATCTCCTGTAATTAAGCTCACATGTCTTGTCACTCTTGGAAGAAATCAGATTCAGCTGAAAATACCACATTTCTACTTCACGTTTTTACATAATTTTTAATTGCTATGAAGAACAGCTATAAAACTGTATGTTTAATGAGGAATAGCTAACTTTGTCATGTTTCATATAGTTCAAAGAATTATATATATATTGAATTTTTTTTTCTTCTGGAAATACGATATTATTCTTATAAAGTGAAAAATAAACGTTTAAGCAAATTTTTGCTCCACCTATCAAAGATGCATGCGCTTTTCGGGTGTGATAAATTTTGATTTGAAGATTAGCTTGTAATATTATATTTTGATATAAATGTATATAATTTTTCTAAAGCTGAAGTAACACTAACAATATAAGCTATATTAGTCATTATCTTTAATTTATTGATAATAACAACAGGATATAGAAGCTGATACAATTTATTATATTAGTATTTTACATAACAGTTTCAATCTGTAAAAGACATTAAAAACAAATTTGCGAAAAATATAATGTAAAGTAATGCTACAAAAATAAAAATGTGAAGTTGCATTTGAGAATCGTATGAGGCGTGAATGGAGTATGAGTAGGTTAATACTATTACAGTATTATTATTACTATTGAATAAGAGAGGAAACTATGTTATTAGGATGAAATAGAAATGTATTTATGCAAAGCTGTATTTTTACTACTAACTTAAATTCTCAAAATTCGATGACTTGCAAACAGAATGGGTGGTTGCTTCAGTAAGCTTACATGTAGGTGCTGTCCAAATAAAAAGAAAAATAGGTAGGACTTTGTTAATGTTTATTAGTTTAAACTTTAATGTTTATTAGTATACTTTACTCCAAATTTAAACCCTAAACTTCCTATAAAACTAAAAATTCAAAAGGTGAGTTTTCTCATACTCGTAGACCATAATTAGCTCAATGAATATGACACTAATACTTTGTTGATGTTATTATTATTGAGCATTTGAATTCAAAAGCTAGAATATTACATATTAGTTTTATTATTACATATGTTGCTAATTCAAGTTCCCATAGTTAGGAATAATGTTTGTTTTTTTTTCTTTAGAATATTAGAAGAAACTTAGAGAGTAGTCTTGACACTGAAAAAAAAATGTATATTAATATTGAGAAGTGCAAGCTTATATACATAGAAAGTTGGGACATTTGGATTTGGAAAGAGCTAGTAACAACTTGATTTGAAAAAATTTGGGGATTGTTAATGAAAAATAGTTTGAGTATTATCATCTGCAGCACTACACTTACAGCCTTGTACTATGTGTTTAGGTGTAGTCATAAGAGCTAGCAGGGTGCTAGGATATGTTTATGGAGATTTTAAAAATAAATACTTTTGTTAGGTCATGTTTAGAATGTTTTTTTTCAATTTGATCTCCATAATATAGATAAATTCATAACATCAGAACAATATGGGAGCTCCAGCCTTGAGAAAACTAACTTAAAAGCAACCTTTATTTTTAACAAAGTTATCAATTCCTGTTTTAAACTCTTGTAAAGGGCCAGTCTGTGCTACTGTCAATGAAAACTCCTCCCATAATTTGGCTCAATCCCTCAGTAGACCCACAATGGCCATTTATCAATCTCAATGACACACTTATTGCGAGTGGTGTCTCAACAGAAAATTATACCCACTTCACCCAACTGTTTCCACCGTATCCTGTTTTTTGACCTGGCTTTTTGAAAAATATCTTGCTTCATCTACTGTCACCTTATATAAGACAGCTTCATCAACTACGTTTCAGTATTCAAAACATAGAAAGGTTTTTGAGTCCTGTGTTCTATCCAGCTTACTTAAATCTATTCATGTTCTTTATCCCAAAAGGCCATTTCTTTTGCCTGACTGGGATATTAAGGTGGTATTGCATGTTTTGTTTTGTTATCCCTTTGAGCCTTTAGCATCATGTTCTGTGGATCACCTTTCTCTTAAAGTGTATTTTTTTTTTGTTGTTGCTGGTGTGTGAACATTGTAGGTCTGATTTGTTTCCACTGCACATGACTTTATCATTCTACCTATGTCCTGCTATATACAGGTAGATCCTTCCTTCCTAAGACTCTGGCAGCCAGGGAAGGGGATAAATCCTTCTCACCAATTCACTTATGGGCTATTTCTCACCTTTACCACTGCTTGGATCCTGATCGTTTGTTATGCCCTGTCAGAGCCCTAAGGTGTTATGTGGCTTTCACTAGCTTTTTTCATGGTGCTAGAAATCGATTTTTTATTCGTTGGGATCCTTCTGTTTCCCACAGTTTATCCCCTATTACCTTGACAAGGTGGCTTCATAAATTTTAAACATATTGCTTATCCTGGCCTATCTTTACAAGAGAGGAATATGGTACAAGTCATATCATTTCAGATTCATCATATTTCTATGTCCTAAGCTGCCCATTTGAATTGCCTGCTGGAGAACATCTTGCGGGCTGTTATGTGGACTTCTCTGTCAGGGTGGGATGCATTTCTGAACGATGACAAGACTTTGGATGTATGGGCTCTGGTAGAACTCCACTTCACATCAACATACTCAAATTCATCAGGCACATTACCATTTCCTCCTCCTTCTTGTGGATCAAATGATCTTGATTCATCTGACAATTCCATATTAATTTTTTTATATAAACAGGTAAATTGGTACCTGTTTCAGGATTCTTTGCTTTTGTACATTGGACATGCTATTTTAGGCTCATTCCCATTGTGTATGTCTCATAACTTGTCACGTGCTGGGGCTCTGAAACTGGAGTCAGATTGCATGTCTTGGCCAGACTGGATTCTACCCATGGAGTGGTCTCTCTACCATCAGGTTTTTTGTTGACTTTGCCCTCAGTTGGGCATGCCCCTCATCAATGCCTTAACCACTCCTCTCAACACCAAACTTTTGGTCCCCAGAGCCTCATCCTCTGTCCCTGGTGTTTGATGCTTTCAACCAGGACTATTCTCACTTTTTTTTTTATATGCTTATCCTTCTCTTTGCCTCCTCACTCATGTCTCTGCCTTGATATGTGACACTCCTTGTTGGGTCCTGTTCATGGCACCTCTTTGGCTTGCACAACCATAGCTTCTTCTGCTTTGTCCATTCATCTTCGCATGTGGGATTTGTCCAGTCCCTTGCCAGCAGTGCTGGAATCACCAATCATGTATCCTTCTTTTTATCTCATTTTTGTTGTGTCTTTCAACTTTTTCTGTCTATCAACAGAAGTGGTGAGTTTTTTTACATTGGTCCATCCACTACTCCCTTCCTCCAGACCATCCTACTATGGCCCACATTTTGGCCTTTTTTCACATGGATTATCAATTTTCACCATAGCTGGTTATCAATTACATTTCACCTTTCCTGTGACCATTAGGTGCTTTTTTTCCCCTTATTCTCTCTACTTTGTTCCAATCCTTCTTTCTTCATTGACCCTTTATCTGACTCCTATGCCTGACTATGACTTTAGTGTGTTATACATGCTCTCACACATATGCCTTATTCGAGCCATTGGTTTCTTGTTCTTTATACCATTTTCTTCTGAAGACATACATCCTTCTCCATATCATTGATGCTTTCCATATTTTTTTTCACTGTACTTATTTACTCCTCTACCCAGACTGTGCTCTTCTTCCTGTGACTTCAGCTACTCGGGAAGGTGATAGATCTTTCTGCCCTCCCTCCTTCTCTTTTATTTCTCACCTCTATACTCATTTGGACCTGGACTGTATTCTGTGTCAGGCTCAGGCTGGCTGGTGCTATTTGGCATAAATGTCTCCATTTTGGGGTTCCCATCAACATTTTTGTTTCTGCCTCCTTTCCTTACTGGATGGGTCTACCAGTTACTCCGAGTGGTGTATTCTTCCTTGGATATTGATGCTCACAGGCTTTTTCACACTTTGTTGCATCAAATTTATCACCTGTCTCACTCTCTTGATTCTCATTTTCACTAACACTTGAATGAGATCCTTCAGGCTGACCTGTGGACAAATCCACACACGTTTGTCTGTCATTTTCTTTATCATTTGGCTGTTTTGTCTCATGTAGGATTTCAACTCTCTCTCTATTTTTCAGTCTATACACTGTCTTTCAGAAGGGGTAAGTACATTTTCTTTCTCATCATGCTTTTCCCTTTTACAGGATTCCACCACATAGCTGATGTTGTCTCCCATGGTATGCTTATTTCCCAAAATCTGCATCAGGTCAGGGGTAACAGAAAGCACTCAATCCATTTTCACTGGCTCAACTAGTGCCCATTGTCGAGATGGGGTGTTCCACAGGACCACCAGCACTATACTTATGGATTTAATATTACTTATTTGCCAGATCCAGACCATACCATTTCATGATCTATCATGGAAATAGCTGGCACCAAGGATGTGACTGCCCACTTCTGTGGCTTGTGCCTATTGACTTCTAAAAACAGAATTTTGTGGTCACTATTGCACTGTCTCCAGTAAAAGACTTTTCTGACAGGCATACAGTGAGGGTCTAGGCACTTCTCTGGGTCTCCCCGATGCAAATTCTCTCCCTCTTCAAGTGGAACATGGAAGACTTTACTACTTACCACTTTCTAGCTGCTGGAATGGTAGACCTTGGAGAGTTTTTCACTGATTATGTACAGCACAATACAGTGGGAAGTAGGGTGGCAGTGTCACTGTCTGTGTAGTGTGGGGTCACCCTTCAAACAGCTAATGTGCCCTCCTTCTCCAGCAAGGTGGGTTTACCACCCACCTTTTCTATCTGTTCATTTCAGTCGAGATCAGACACACACTGTATGATCTGATCCTGCCTTAACCATTCTACTCTTCTTGGCTTGTTAACTACTTACTTGTGTGTGTGGGTGTTTGGTTGGTCATGTTAAAATTCCACCCACCCTTGTGACACTCTGGTCTCTTTGTCTATCCCTCTGTTTTCTTGTGAGTGAAAAGTATTCCCTTGTCAAGATGAGATGCTGTCACACTCCATGGACTTTCCCTTCAGGCACTTTGTGAAGGAAACTCATCTAGGTTTAATGTTTGCATGAGTTCCTCCACCATTTCAGTGTGGAATTCTAGTTATTTTGTGTGTGGAGGTTAGATGTCATTTTGGATGTTAAAATTTTCTTTACCTGAAAATATGTATCTGGTAGATACTTGCCTCTTCACACCTGCCTTCCCATCCTCTCCACTTCCTGTGCACTTTTTTTCCTTGTCTAAGTATGAAGTTATTTTGAGCACCAGTGTTTAGGGGAAGTTATTGAACAAGGAGGTTGTGCTGCCTTCCTATCACTGGAGGGCCTATTGTCATATGATTATGTCATCATGCACTAGTGCAGTTCACATAAAAAAAGGGATTTTTAGGTGGGAGTTAGCTCAAGGCTAGTGGCATGCAAGTCTCATAGGCAGATGGGTGAGGGATCAAACTATTCTGTGTGAAGAGGTATCTATCAGAAATACATTTTAGGTAAAATAAATGTTAAAGAAATACAGAAAAACATGTGAAATCCATCTAAAAGGCTTGAGGGAAAAAATTAAAAAGATTATACTTTACTTCAAACAGTAGGTGATATCTCATAAATAAAGCAACTTAGCATTAAAAACATTAGATAATTGTATTTGTTGCTGTAAAACTGAATTTACATTCAACTTAGCTCTTAATTCACCTAATAATCATCACGCAGTTACACTGAATGTAATGTGATGTGGTTTATTAGCAGTTAAGTTGAATGTAACTTGTAGGTTACAAATTTAGTTTGGAGCTTAGTGTACTTTGATATATATATATATATATATATATTGTATGATGTGATATGCTTCTTAATATGGAAACTACTTTTACAGGCATTATTCCAAGACAAAATACTTTGGGTTAAGAAGCATAATAGAAGTAAGTATATAATTTTTAGTGTATAACGCTTGAGTTGTTAAAGAAATTTGTTCTGACTTTGGCTTGAACCTGGGACACTCAGCTGACACTAATATTCTGAAGCAATTGTTCTTACCAATGGAGCTATCAAGACTCAAATATAATTAGTCTACCATCCATCTTGACTGCTACATAAATCTAACACTCAAAGAAGATTTATACTTGAGCCCACAACATATACAGCCCATCAATATATAACACATCACCTCCACACCAGAAATACTATCACACGTTTTTTCGTGCAACATACCAACATTTGTTAAAATTATCATCAGTTTTATAGTGATATACAGGTAATATTACACTTATTATCAACTACATATAACCATGTTGTATTCCTATGAGTTATACTAATGAATAACACATACACAAAACCTGGTACTAAAAACAACTTTATTCAAAGGAAACAGACTTGCAAGTTTTTGTTATTTTCATTTTTGTGCTGTTCATATGTTATAACATTACAAAGGTACTTTAATTATGCTTGAACTTGAAATAATGAAAAATGTGACAGTATGACAGTAAGAGTCAAACAAAAGGAACAAGAAGAAATCACTTTAAAACTCCCTTTCTTTTAGATGTGTCACACCAAAATACTTGAGTTAAAGGAGGCTTTGCGACCCTACTTTAAAACCAAAGTCCTAATACATAAGGTACCTCAGGTACCAGAGGATGACCAAATCTTGTAGAAATGTCATACAGTTATAATAAAGATTTTTCATTACCCAGTCAAGCAGTCTCAAAACTTTTATGTACTTAACTTTAATTAAAACAATCACACTCATTGTAACTTTAATAAATGACAGTAATAATATTATTACTATTAGCATTAACTTGGTTGTCACTACACTTTATTGCAGCACTGTTATATAACAAACTCCTATATGAACTATTATACTGTGACACATTTAATTAAATCAATATCTAAGGTATAAACACCTGTAGTGGTGATTGTTCACTTTTTTTTTTTTGTTGCTGTACTAAGTACCACAAAGGTTGTCAAGCCTGTCACCAGCTGATTAGTGCTTGTTAGTGTTATGTCTCAGTCAGGTAGTCTTTTAAAAATGTCTTGATATGGGGAAACCTACATATAATAGCTTCATATTTATACTTTATTTATGCAAGTTTGAGAATTTAAACACCTTTGTACCTTTATGCTATAATTATGTGGTTCTGTAAGCTATGATTCTTTTGTTTACAACACATTTTGGTAAGAATCCAAAGCCTTTTTAGGCATTATTTTAATGTGCTCTTTACCAATTTCATGTTACTAAAAGAAACGCCATGAAATTGTGATTGTACACTCCTAACTAGAAGTGCACATATACAAATGAAATTATAAATACACAAATACTGAAGAGTATATTCCAAGAATCCACATGTGAAAACAAAATAGAATATATTATATGTCTACCACACTACTTCTGCTATATCTAGTGCCAATGAGGTCTTTTGCCCAATAACAGGGCTCATTAGGCCAGCTGGGGTATGATAAACATAGTAGTGGTCTAAGTGCTATAAATATATATATATCATTAATTTTCATTAATAATAACTGTCAGTGAGTGAATAAAATTTAAGCAAATTAAATGTAATTATTATTTATTTTTATTTAAGTCATTTACAAATCATATTTCTTCACCACGTTATTTTATTTTTATTTTAACAATGTTTTTTATTTATTATTATTATTTTAATTAACTAAAGATAAGATAATGTACTTCCTTTCTTTTGAGTTCTGAACAAAACTGATTAACATGTTTACAAATCAATATTGGTGTGTAGTTTCATTGTGCTCCTTAAAGTACTTTAATTTAACACAAACCATTGTTATTGGTAATGAGACATTTCAAAACATGAAATATTATTCCACAGTAAGATTTGTGATTGCAAAACTGTTATTTATGACAAAGAATTAAATTTATTTTTTCTTTCCTTTTAGTTTGAAAATCTAATCAGAGAGGTAAGTTTTAAACATTTATTATGTTAAATTTTAATTTTTTTAAGACTGCATAAGTCTTTTTTTATGTATAAGACATTTGTTAACCCTATGCATATGGGCTCTATGAATTGTATTGATCTTGTAATGCAAATATCATCACCTTTTTACAGAGTTATATTCAAAATTTAATTAAACTTTATTATCAGTATATGTCAATAAACTTGACATCAAAACTAAGTTTTAATTAATTTCAAAAGGAAATATTTAAAAAATTCTCAGTCTTCACTCTTCTGTTATGTTACATGTCTGTACTCTGATCTTTCCCATTTAGATTTCATAACTTCAACGATAAGATTTCTGTAGTGCCTGTCCTATTAGAAACATAAGCTACACTTATTGAAAATATAGAATACAAAAAATTTAACTTTTCTTCCTTATTGATATGCTGAGATATCAATAAATTTGTCTAACCCACCAGAGAAACAACAATGTTTTTCATGAATTCCAGACCAATTATTTGCTTACACCTATTTGACTGATAGACATGTTTATAAACAGTAGAGAGAGCATATTGTAATTTATAGGAATCTTATATTTGTTTGTTTAGTTTTGACAGGTGAAAAAAGTAGTTTGCAAGAAAATTTTAATGTGTGTTGAGTTTAGTCATTGCTATGAGCAGTAGTGGAATTTTTTAAACAGATTTATAGCTTAATTAGAAAGCCAGATATATTATGGTAGCTTGAGATATTATTTTTTGGACATGATTGCATTGTGAGAAAAAAATAGGGTTATCGAAGCATGGCCTCTAAGTACAAATGGCTCAGTGCTGAAAGTGCTAAATTTCTTATTTGTTAGGGATATATTTTACTTGATTTTATATATTTTTAACAAAAGTAACAAAAATGTAAAAATTATAAACTTTTTAGGTTAGATAACAATACTTAAATGAAAAAATTGTATAAAAAAATTTAAAAAGATCAGTTGATACAGAAGCAGCTTACATTATGTTGGTCATATGTAACCTGGCTATTTGTTTACCTCGAGTTCCCCTGTTGTGATTTATTGCTTATGCCACATAGTCCAAAGTATGGTAATAAAACTATGAAATTAAAAAGATCAGATGTGAAAGGGCTAGAAGCTGAGGTTATTAGGATAAGTAATAGTAATTGTCTGTTAGAGTCTACAGTCATTCTAGAAAAAGAAATCAAAAAGTATTATTGATTTCATATTTTTCAACCTTTAATTTCATTGTATGTAGATGACTTACTATAGTTTGTGTTAAGATAGAGAAAATAACATATATGGTATAAAGTTTTACCAAAAAATACTTTTGATATTTATTTAGGTTGTTTTAGAGGTTATGCAAATAAAATATGAAAACTCTAATTTTAGGGCTTAAAACTTAGCATGAAAATTTCATTGTATGTTGATGACTTACTATAGTTTGTGTTAAGATAGAGAAAATAACATATATGGTATAAAGTTTTACCAAAAAATACTTTTGATATTTATTTAGGTGGTTTTAGAGGTTATGCAAACGAAATATGAAAACTTTAATTTTAGGGCTTAAAACTTAGCATGAAAATCACCTTTCACTTAGATTGACTAAGTAATGACTTCATAAATTCACAGATAGATCTGTAATAAAAATACTTCATGAAAAAATCAGAATTTTTTGTGTAAAACAGATTTGTAATGTTTACCGAAAGTTTGCCAGTTTCACAATGATACACTTAGGGCATTCAGAGTACATATAGTTGGTGGTCACAAGGTTAGTCAAGTCGACAGTGCACGTATTCATGAGACTGAGTGAAGAAAAGCAACCATGAAATACATAAAAATTTTGTGAAATTGAACCTCAAATTACCAACTTTTTTACATACTATTAACTACTAGCATGGTCCACACATTGCATATTTAACTAATTTTATGTTCTATTAATGTAAATAAAAAAACAAACATGTATCTCAATAATGTATCTTTATTAGCTTAGTATTTCACTATTACAGCTTTGTCATTACAGGAACTGTTGATGATGACATAGCATACATCAGAGTTTATGCATCAACTGTAATAACTTTGGAAAGAGCCAGAAGGTTATGAGGAACAAAACATAGAAATTTTGACATTGTACTTTGTATATACTAATTTAGTAATTCTTCATAAATATAGCCCCATCAAATAAAATATTTAGGCTTAGGTGGGGTGGCTCCCTCCCCTCTCCCCAATTGATGTCATTGTTTTGACCACATTCTGCTTGGTTATCACAAACCATTAGTTGTACTTTACATCACTTTGCAATAACATACTTTAAAAAATTATAAGTTGGACAACCTGGTGCCACCCACAAAAAACTATAAAAATTACTTCTTCATTTTTAAAAAGAATGTTAAGCTCGTATTTGAAAATGCTTGTACTACTTTCCTATTTTTGCATGTTTCATTTTTGCAGTGATATCTAATTCCCAGCATTAAAGTGAAATTCGAGTTTGGTTAATTGTCGAGAGGGTAGGATGTTATATAAGTAATGTTGCTTAAAGTGTGGATATGTAGTGTTGCAAAATTAACTTACATACCTAAGGAGTAGTAATGATGCTGTTAAAGGTTTTTTTATAAATCTGTGGTAGTATTATCCATAGAAAACAAAGGGACTAGATTGTGAATTGACATAGATGTTTTTATAAAGTATCACTATAAATAACATTACAATACAAGAAGAACCCCTGGTGTATGGTTTGTAATATAATTAGAATACAGATATTAACTTAGATAATTGAATTAATGACAGCTTGTGCAACTTTAAACAAAATGGAAACTCCAATGGTGCAAAGATTTAAAAGTTTAGAGAAGCATAAACTTTTAATGGTTGCAATCACACTTCTGTCTTTTTCAAATATAAAAACAGTGTAACTAATTTATAAAAAAATGTATTTGCTAATTAAAACCTGGAAGTGCTGTCCACTGTTTATATGATAGTAATCTCATTTTTGAAAAAAGTTACTTGGAGGAAATTACAAGATTTATATGATCATAGTAAGATTGGCCACATATTTTTTATTGTTGGTTTGTATCACATTTTTTAGGTATTGTTTTCTAGATGATTTTTATCCTTCATGATGTAAACACTACTTTTATTTAGTTTACTTTCTTTCATTCAAATATAGCTTTTTTTTGGCCTGGCATGGTCAGGTGGTAAGGGCACCTGACTCGCAATCTGAGAGTTGCGGGTTTGAATCACCATCCCACCAAACATGCTTGCCCATTCAGCCATGGGGGCATTGTAAGGTGACAGTGAATCCTGCTATTCATTGGGATCTCCTTGGTCTGAATGTTTTCTTTTTGGGTGACTGCCACCCTACATTCTCTCTCCTTTACCTACATCTTGCCTCCCTTTTTCACTGCATCAATTTTTGTAGGTGTTCTCAATTCCTTGGAATCTTGGGCTGGGGCTTTGATTTCATAGTTTTTGTATCATTAAATCATGGATACCTCTTTTGGCTACCAACCCAGGAAGGCTGATTGGTTATTTTTGTCCCATCTATCTGTTTCCTCATTATGTTATTGTTCCATTCACAATCATCTTTTATGTCCAGTTGAGGCTGCTCATAGCTATCTTATTCAGATGGCCCTTTTCCAAAACACACGTATCTCTGCTGACATTGTTAACTATTCCTCGACCTTCAGGTTTTCAACTTTGCCCATCTGAGCATTGGTCTTGCTTGCTCCAGTCTTTTATACTTCACTTAAATGGCCATGGCAATATTTGTCTTATGATATTCTATACCTATGTCAATGCACTCTCTATCCTCGTCAGACTAAACATGCTCACCCTTTCAACCGTGGGGGCATTATAATGTGATGGTCAATTCCACTATTCATTGGTAAAAGAGTAGCCCAAGAGTTGGCGGTGGGTGGTGATGACTAGCTGCCTTCTCTATAGTCTTTCACTGCTAAATTAGGGACGACTAGTGCAGATATCTCTCATGTAGCTTTGCGCGAAATTCTAAAAAACAAACAAGCAAACAAAGCAAGCTTTTTTTTTTGTCATGTGGCAATTTGTGCACATTTTTGGTTTCACTTTCACCTATCACAGCATAGAGACAAGTGGTGAACACTAATAAATATTATTTTCTTGGCACATGTGTATAATCTTAAAATAATAAATATATAACACACAATGTTAAAATCAATACATAATTAAAAACATTTCTAAAATATGGACTCTACATGTTTTGATTTTTACTATGTCATCATCAAGAGTGAACTTGCAAGATGTAAGTATCATATTTATTTCTTCTTAGCTAAATCATATGACCTGTGTGTACGTTTACATATCTTATCAATAATAAAGCCAAATTTTATTAAAATATGGTAGAAGACTTGAAGATAGACATCTTTTGAACATTTTATCTTTGCTGTTTTGCAATATTTTTTACAGTTTTTCCTCATTACTCTCGAAATTTGTAGTTCTGTTAGAACTAGGCCTGGACATTTGCACACAATATAACTTAAACTTGAAAATACCCTTAACGCCACAAGATAATCTTGACTGTAGACGATAACCTTGAAAAAAAAAAGCTAGGAAAAAAGAACCAAAAAGAAAATATATAACTTAGAAATTATTGCACAAAATCCCCTTAACAATTATAATCCTCCATTTATAACAAGTCACAATAACCTAAGCAAGTACTTCACACAGTATCTTGCTTAATAATCTCCTAAACATCTGGCTTCAATTTTCTTTCCTTTTATATTTTTCTATCAGATGACAAGGTTACAAATCAACACATGAATGATTACTATTGGCTGTTGACAAAATATTTCATCAATTACATACCTTTGTGGTTGAAGTTATCAGGAGGAGATACCTCAGTACCATCCAGTATCACCTATGTTGTTTCACTGCAAAGAAACTTGTGCTAAGATTAACTAATAGACATGAGCTGATACCTTTTATAAATAACCTCAAAAGACAGCTCAACTAAAACAGAAGGGAAAATGTGTAAAGTATAAGGGTGATAATAATTAACAAAAAAATAAGGGAATACTGCATGCACATTTTCTTTGTCCTCTTCAGTTTTTGCTGAATTAGTAGTTAATTGAACTACATGTATCCTGCTAGTACCTTTTTATATTGTAGTGACTGTATTTTCCATGTTACTTTCTCCTTCTGTACAATGATTTCAATTATATAATTAGTTAGCAGTGTTGAGCTGTTTTTCTTGGGGACCTTGTTTGGTAAGGTGTATTTCTGCTTATTGCTTTCTTAAATCAGTTTTCTTATTGATTATGGGAGTCTGGTGGTTAGGGTGCTTGAATTGCAGCTTTGAATCCCAGTTGTCAAATATGCTAACCCTTTCAGATGTGGGGGTGTTATAAGTAATGGTCAATCCTACTATATGTTGGTAAAAGAGTAGTCCAAGAGTTGGCAGAGGGTGGTGTTGACCAGCTGCCTTCCTTCTATTCTATTACTACTCAGTTAGGGATGGCTAGTGCAGATAGTCCTATTGTATCTTTGCACAAAATTCAAAACACATCAAATCTTATTGATTATGGTTATTACACTTGTGTAATTTGAAGTTCAGGGTATGTCAGTTATGTGAAATAATTTGTTGCATTATATTATTAAGATCAATTTCAGGTTTTTCTTCTGTTGTTCTATTTTTCTTGTCACTGTTATTGTTAGGGACAATTAGAGGGGAGAAGGGCATTTGGTTCAGGCTTCAAGCTGAAAGGGAGCCTCAAATTTAGACACTTGTTTTTATGTGCCTCCCCAATCAGAACAAAATGTGACACACTCTCAGCTTAGAGCTGCAAATTATGTACACAAATTAAATATTCAAATTATCTTTCACTTTTATTTTGGGCTAAGGATTGTCTTATTTTGTTTTCATGTGTCATCATTTTTTTTATTATAGCCAAGGGCCTCAAAATATAAAAGTGGCATGGGCCTCTGAACTTCTGAGAGGGCTTGGTTATTGTAAGAACCCCCAGTTGTGAGTTTGAAACTTTTTTGAGCATATTGCACATGTAAGAACATTTCTCCCCTCTTCTTCTTTAATTTTCATTTCCTACTATTGTTTGTGTTCTGGTTTGAAATGGTGATAATACTGAAATATTTGTTTGTGATTAAATGCAATTCATTGAGTCTGTACATTTAACTCTAAATTATTGAATATTAGAAGACTCTCTACCGAAGTACATTATTGAATAGGAAAATATTACATTGTACCTAATAGATTAGTTAATGAAAGAACAAGAGCTTGACTTAAATGTAATTAGGAAGATTGTGTATGACTGTTTTTGTATGGGCAGGATTCTTTACAGTAGGTGTTTGTGACTTGTTGATGATAAATTTGAACAATAAACAAATGGCACACAGCCCATTTGTTTTAAAATAATATATTAAAACAAGTCAAACATATATGCAAATGTTTGTTACACAGTTGGTTATCACAGTTGTATCCAGAGCTTTAAATAATTGCCTTCTTTTTGTCAAAGTCTATGCAGGCTGGTTCAGTTACTTTAGAACACAACTTCACAAGACAAATTATTCTTTTTGCTCTGTTATTACTATACAGTCCGTGATAATTTCTTTTTAAAATCACCATTATAACTGTTGGTTACCACATTTGTATCCAGAGCTTTAAATAATTGTCTCTTTTTTTTCCATCAAAGTCTACATAGGCTGTTACAATTACTTTAGAACACAATTGACAAGACAAATTATTTTTCTATATTATGTTATTAGAATACAATTTGTGATAATTTTGCTTCAGAAACTGCCTCTGTATGCCCTTTATGGCTAAACTCACAACTATTTACGAAACATAAATACAATGAAATACACTGTATGTATTTATATTTCAGTGATTGTTCTTTGATGGTAATTGTGTGCATACATGTGGATGTGTATGTCAATACTATATTTAGTTTGTAGTGTTAAATTGCTTAGTTTTTAATGTTTTTCGTGTTTGTTTAGCTAGAAGTTTGATTCTAATACTTATTTCTATAATGTCTGTTTATGTTTGCTACTGTTACATGTGTAATGTTTCTAGTACATGTTATTGCATGGATAATGTGTGTTACATGTATAATGTCTAATTTTGTAGATACTATTTATGTATGCTAATATGGTGAGAAATGTATAATATGTAGATTTGTATGTAATTGTGTGTATGGTGTTACATGTGTAATGTTTCTAGTACATGTTATTGCATGGATAATGTGTGTTACATGTATAATGTCTAATTTTGTAGATACTATTTATGTATGCTAATATGGTGAGAAATGTATAATATGTAGATTTGTATGTAATTGTGTGTATGGTGTTACATGGGTAATAGATGTTAAGCATGCATTGTATGTATGGTGTTTCATAGATAATTGCAGTTAGGGATGTATTATATATGTATGGTGTTATATTGGTAATGGCTGTTCATAATGTATTGTATGGGTGGTTTTTACGTGGGTAATTGCTGTTAAGCATGTGGTGTGTTTATAAATGTTTCATGCATATTGTATTTTGTTACATTTAGTGTAACACTTGTATCTATTAACTCTAGCTCTTTAATTATAATTGTACATTTATCATGAGTAATATCTGGTTTTGTAGTTACAGTGTATGTTTGTATATCTGTGTGGTGTAAAATGGACAATGGTCCTTAGTATTTTTTTGTTCATATGATGTTAAATGTATGTGTATGCATTTTTATTTGCTATGTTAAATATATAATTTTTATAACATATTAGGAGGACACAAAGGAACCAAATAGGTAAGTAATTTGAAATGCCTCTTAGATATGGTATTTAAAACAGGACGTTTGTGTTCAAATACATTTATATTTAAATCTAAAGATGCATTTACTTGTAGTACAGTTTGCAAATCAGTGATGACTTGCATTGTAAATAGCATAATACTGTCAGTATTAACTTTTTAATTATTTGTACTTCCTTTTTTCTAAATTTTGTAGATTTTTATTTAATTTTTCTAATGTAAAATAAATGATTTAGTTATAATTACTTACTTATGAAATTTCTTATCATTTGTGTTGACTTAGTGAATTAAAGTCTTAATCTTACATATGCATTACTTGAGTACAAGTACTGATGCTGGAATATGTTTTGTTGATATACATGTACTTACATCAATGCTGACAAAGTTAATATATTTATTTGTTAGGTTTTTTTGGGAAAATACTTTTGTATTGTACTGTCGAAATTTACTATTATGCTTTCATTTTTTTTAACAACACGTTTATGTTAAATATAGGTTTCTAGTTATTCTGTATGTTAATTTCATTTTTAACAGTTTAATTATTTATATATGTATGTTTAGTTATGGGAATTAGTTACTCTCGAGTTTAATATTACATTAATAAAACATTTTGAGTGTATTTGTGAGCACTGATAATGTGTTTTTCTTTCTTACACAGCCATAGGAAAGTTTAATATTATAAATTTTTTTGAGTGAACATATGGACACTAATTATTCCCCATGTTACATAGTTACATGCAAATTTAATGTTTGATTTTAAACTTCCTTATGGTATTTTTTGAGTACTGATCATTGTATAACAACATAGAAATTTAATGTTACATTTTAAATTTTGATATTGCTAACTTTCTAGAGCAAAACAGATTTACTTTGAGGTTTTATAATTAATACAATTCTTTTATGTATCTGTATCTACAAGTAATGCAGATCCTTTTTAACATTAAGTTAGTTATTAACTTACATCTAATCTTGCATAATACAAACTTTTAAGTTATCAATCAGTTGCATAAGCAGTTGCACATAAACATTAACTATTTTTTAAAACATTTGTGCTAATTGCTGTGTTTCTTTTCAGTATATCTTCATGGCTAAACTTCAGAAAGAAAAAGGTAAGCTGTTTGTTTTACTTTTATTTGCTGGGTGATTTTGAAAGGTAACTGCTTATATTATTTGTATGAAATACTTATTAGTATTTTCCAATAAGTTAGTTGGGGTTGAATTAAAGGACAATGTTTATATTTTTCACAAATGTGCTACTTAGAAAATTTTGCCGTATTTCTAAAATTATAATTTATTTTCCTTGTGCTGTTATTTCTATTTACTTAATTTGATTTTGCTAAGAATTTGACATCTATTATTTCACATTCCTCTCCTCCATTGTTAGTGAAACATATATACGTATCTTCATCGTATGTTCTATAGCAGTGGAAGGCAGTCACTTTATCAGATCTGCACATGGTATGTTTTTATTCCATTTTATGAACACATTTTTCCTTGACACTCTTCAGAGATACCTGATATTGTTTCTTGATGGATTCTTAGATTTTCTTTGGTTTTTCTTCTTGTAACCATTTATTTCCAACTGGCTTTAGATTGTTAATATCAAACTTTTCACATAGTTTTTATACCTTGTATTTTGGAATTTGCATGAATAGAAAGATTAATCTCACAGATTTGGAACTAGATTCCATGAGGGGTAATTTAGGTTTATCACTGGGCTGTCTCTCTCCAAATAATCAAAGATATGTTGTATATGATTGAGATTTTTTTTCTTACATATTCTCAATTTTCTTGTCGGCTGCATCTGGTTATTTGTTCTCTAAGCATTTATTTGAAATTAAAGAATACATTTTGAGCCATTCTTTTGGGCTATGACCATTTGAAGTTTGGCTCTTTCAAGATTATCCTTGTTGTAAGCAATTTCAATAATATAGTAACTTTCTATTGCCAAATCATTATATTATTTAAATTGTTCTATCCCCTAAGGACAGTTGCTAGAAATAGAAACTATCAGAAAAATAAGTGTAATAAATATGGGGCAGTTGGGCACAATTTGGTTAGCTAGGAAAAGTAAGTTACCTTTGACCATTTCATTATTATTTTTTTTTTTTTTGCTTTGCTTATTCACTAAGATACTTTTGAATGTTTTTTATTGTTATTATTAAACTTATTATTTTTCTTTTGCTGTTTATAAAATCATGAAAACATTGGCAATTGCTCAATTTGCCATAAAATGCATTTTGATAAGTTCAGATAAATGCTAATTTAATAAAATATTAATCATATATTGCTTTTGTGTACATAGTGGTCTTTAAGCAAGCACTTACTTTTTTTTTCTTAGTTAAATTTTAATAGTTTTTTTTATTTATAAATATATTTTTGGCACTTTGTTTTTGTTTAAAAAAAGGTACTGTTAGTACTTTTAGTTTTTGTATTAATTCACATCAGTTATATTATTCTTGTTTTCATTTGTTAAAATTATTTTTATGCATGCTGGTGACTTCCTTTCAGTTTTATTACACCTTGTGAAAGGACATAACTTCAGAGTCATTGGTATGATGTATTTATTGAAGAACAAAGGAAACAAGATAGCCTGATTTTTAGTGAGGTAGCTCTTAAATTATCTTTACAAACATACTTGACTTCTTTATATATATATATATATATATATGTGTGTGTGTGTGTGTGTGTGTACATATATATATTTGTTATTTTTAAATTTATCAGTTTTAATGTACTTGGACTTAAGTTAGATTTTTTCCTTTTTTGTTTGTCATACTTTGTTTCTGCATATCAAGTTTTTTTTCCAGGACTTCTATCCTGAATTTGCTGCTTATAATTTTTCAGATCACTTTAAAATCTTAAACAGAGAAGTATGAGTTTATTTGAGTGTATGAGTTACACAATGGGCTATCTGTGCTGTGCCCACTGCTGGTACTGAAAAATCACTCTCTGTATATTTCATTTATGAAAGAATTTGCATTATTATGTATCCAGTAGACAAAATATTTTTAGGATAATGCAATTTTTCAGTATGAATTAGTTATCACATGTATTTCATGAACTTTTCATTCAAGCTCTGTAGCTTTGTCCATGAAATTCACTATTAAATTATGAAAAAATGTCATGATCTTAAACAAATAACATCTCAGTTTGAAGGTTAAGCTTTTAGAATGTATTATTATGAATTTTGTATTTTGTGTATTTAAGTTTTCAGACAGTGTTTTAGGCTCTATGATGAAGTACTCAGCATCGAGCCCACGACCTCATTTTAAGACTGAACTAGAGAAAAGAGAAGTCTATAAAAGCACATTGTACAAATTGAAAACACTGTTTAAGACCAAAATAAAAAATATAGGCTTGATTTTCAGTTTTTTTGTTACTTTGTTACTTAGTTGTAAAAAACTGGTGTACTGCTTATTATTTGGAATACACTCTCAGCTTATGCAAAAAGAAGAGTCTCTGGAAATGGAAATAACAATGACCATTGAAGGAAGAAAAGAAGCAGCAAGAATGGAAAGTCTTACCCAGTCATCAGATATCATGAACCCAGCCAAGCTAGTCTTTCATAGTGAGCATTTTGGATGGCTAGGAGATGATCCTCAAAACTGGATTACGTACGTTTTAGTGCATGACATTTAATTGTAGCATCAAATTAGCTTCTAATTTATATCTAAAGGTATGAGTTTATCAATTTTGATTATTTGAATGTAAATTTAATTACCTATTTGTTTTCCACATTTTCTTTTGGCATATATGGCTTCTGCAAAACAGTTTAACCCTTTCCAGACTGGTCATGGGTCAAAGGGCATGTCATCGTGTTTCTTGACTCTCATTCAAAATTTTATTGAACTACTATTTCATCAACTTATGTCAATAAGTTTGGTATCATTCTGTAGATTATATTTCAAATTTTAGTATTATACATTACTCAGTTTCTTAATTTAAATGTAAATTTTAAAAAACACTTAAACATTGATTTTTATGTGTCACATGGTATGTTGAATGCAGCACTGGTTCAAATTAGATGTTTGTGATGTCAAAATACTAAGTCTATAGTTTTTTACAAATTAGGAACTCAAATTACCAATATTGACAAGCTAGTATATAAAATAAGAACCTCCTATCTTTTCTGAGATATTGCTCATGTACTGAATCATGTGAATAACCAACTGAAAGCTCAGTATGTCCCCTTAGTGGCTTTCTCAGCCATTTTCAAGTGTTAGGATGCCATCTTGTACTTTAAAAACAAGATTTCAAGGAGGTAGGTTGTGTCTTTAGTCTACTTGAGAATTTCATATCTTTTTTAGACTGAAATACAGCTTAGTTACTAAGCTAGATAAATTATAGTGGAATTCTATGGTATCGATATGGTAATTTATGATTTTTTTGGTTATTCAACTGTATATATATAAAACTTAAAAAAAATTTTTCATTTCATATCCTCCATGTGCAAAATTTTATAAGGCTTAGCAACCTACATCAAGCAACAACCGAGTACGAAGGTCGTAACTAGAAAAGATAATTGTTTGCTTTACTTCTTTAATTACTTTTCTAGTACATAAGTTTAAGAACTTATTCCTAAATAGTAATAATCTATGTAAATATATAATGTATAATGATTGAAATGTGACTGTACTATTCTATTAAAACACAGCCACAACAGGTCACTTTGTAAAGACCAAAGGTCAGTTTTATATTATTGGATATGGCAACATGAGTACACATGTGCTGCATCATTGTAACTTCTGTATTGTTAGCCAGGCACTGCTGAAAGGTCAATATATGAAAAATAATAAATATATATAAATGTATAATGTTAGGAGATTTAAGCTATTTAGCCTAAACATTTATGTTTTTATGTTATAATTTGTAGTCATTCTAGAATGAAAAAGACATAATTTATATTTATTTCCTAATTTTTTTTGGTGGTTACAAGATAGATCAAATTGACTGAACCTGTACAGAGATTCGTTTGTGAAAATAACAGATAAAATATAAAATGTTTTTCTCAAGAAACATTTGATAACTATCTGGACATTATAAAGATTTCTCATGTGAAATTTGAAAATTTTTTGATGCAAGAAAGTATTTTTAATCATATAATAAAAATTACTTTGCATGTAGGATAGGCAACATGTGAAAAAAAAAGGCATGAGAAAAACATTGCTTAACAAACCTTAAGACTTAATAAAAAATTTTGATATTTTGAATATGAAAGCATTGTAATGTTTACTGATAATCTGCCAAATTTTGTTAACATATGCTTACTAGTTTAAAAGTTATAGCGTGAAAACTATAACAAGCACAAAATGGTTACGAGGTCGGTCCCAGGGACTGAACCCATTCTGAAAGAGTTAAGGTGGTTAGAGAGATCTAATGTAGTGGTTTCAGTCACTGTGGCTTATTGATATTATTGTTTAACTGTGACCTACAAAACATTTGTGGTAGTTTTCATGTCTTTTTTCCATGAATTATCCTTATTCTTCCAATTTCACACATGTTATTTGATTTATGCTTTTTTGCTGGCATTATGTGTTAAATCAATAAATTTTGGTCTATCTGAAAAAGCCCCCCAGTGGCACAGCAGTATGTCTGCAGACTTACAATGCTAAAAACCGGGTTTCGATACCTGTGGTGGGCAGAGCACAGATAACCCATTGTATAGCTTTGTGCTTAACTTCAAAACAAACAAAACTATCTGAAAAAATTTTACGTGGTCAGGTCAGACAAACACATTCTTGGAGATGTAACTTTATTTAATGAAATTACATGTAAGGTAAACAATAAAGTAAAGTAATGGTATTTATAATAGTGTACAGAGTATGAAACAGTTATGAGCATTCAGTGTATGACACAGTATTACGAGTTAAAACAAAAAGGCTCGCACAAGTTAAAAATAAAACTTGTAGTAAAGAAAAAAATGGCTAAAAGGTATTTATAAAATGAACCAAAGCTAAGTTATTGCAAAGTAAATGTAAAGTTGTAATGAAGGCAGACTTAGCTAAATATGCAGAAATGATTGAATGTGTGTTCACAAAGTGATAAGCATGTGGTTTTGAACAAACTGTGCATGCGTATTTTATACCTAAATAAGTTGAGAAAGCTCATAGTAATTGTATTTAGTGTAATGTTAATTTTTTTTTTAGGAAATTATATGCTGGTTAAGTGTTGTTTGTGTGAAATACGTTTCAAATAAAAACTAAACTAAATCGTGCCATCATGCATTGAAAAGTTTGACTAAGCAAGAAAACAACTAAGATGATTATGAATTGAAAATCCAATATGCAACCCAGATTCTGCAGACAAAGGCCTTTCTAATGATATGAGATTTGTAGCATTTGATCGAAAAATGTATGAGAAAAGTTCCTGACAGACAAATGCAAGCATATTATTTATACAAATATAGTCATTTTGTTTTCAAATAATTTAATTAATTTCAGCTTATCTTTGAAGGCTGTCGGTTTTCTTTTTTCTTTTCTCAGGTGATCAATAATGTTGTACTTTCATATTCTTACCTGTTACTCTTACAATTAACCAGCAACTACATATTAAATGCAGCCTGTAAGTTTTGAGTGTACTGAATTAGTTCATAACCTCATTCACTCACTCATAGGCAAGCTATGAAGTCAGGTTTGTAAAGTATGCTGTTTAATTTGCATTACTGTTACTTCAGTTTTGAGAAACTTGACTACATTTTTTGTTGTTTGTGTGCCACTTTAGAAGTTTCATGTCATACCAGTGGCAGATGTTTTTGTCAAGTTGCCTATTCATTGTTTATGAACTTAGAAATTCACACTGACAGTGTTCAGAGATATGGGCTGTTATATTGCCTTACCTGTGACTTAACTATGTAGTTTGTTTATGGAATCAGTCATGGACATTTATGTCATTTTTGAGTGTTCGAGACGATCTTTAGATTTTTGTTAGATTTTCTGGTGTCCATGTGCACCTTATGGACTCTTTAAGACAAGGAAATTTTGCTGTTCCTTTATGTTCGGATTTTTTTTTGTATTCCCAGTGTATAGGTAGGGTTTTATCTGGATACCTAAGTATTTTGTGGAATTCTATAAAAATGTTTTTTATAGTTGATTTTGGATCAACTATCTTTCACTCTGTTTTCTTCAGGCTCCTTTCTAGGTTTTATCTCCCTTTTGTAGTTGTATTGCAATTGGTCTAGAAGCATTTGATTTCAGTTAAGTATTTTGCCAGTAGAAACAACGGTAACAAGAAATTCTGGTTTTACATGTCCCCTTTAATGTTTAATGTTTAAAGTTTACCCATGTTGCATAGTGTTATTTCATTGGAAAACCTTGTAATATAGTATTTGCTGATCTCCTTACACTTGTGTGGTTCATTTGGGATTTCTTGTGTTTCCTGCCAAGTGAAATTAGAGTTCTTTTAATTGTAAGCTTTTTACATTGGTTCATAATTTTATAATTCTCTGTAGAGTTTTTCTAACTTTTCATTTCTGAATGTTTTTTCCAAATGTAGGAGTACATCTTTTCCTGATATTCTAGTTTACCCAACTTACTTATTGTGGAAATGGTACTGTTGTACCTCATTTTTCTACCTCTTAAACTGACAGCTGGACAGTTCTTAACCCTTTATCATCTCCACCCATATATTTATGCATGCTAAACATCATCTCCACCCATATATTTATGCATGCTAGACATCATCTCCACTGGTGTGTGTGTGTGAGTGTGTGTGTGTATATATATATATATGCCAAATGTCTTGCACATCATTTAAAGTGCCTTGCACTTGGTTTGGTTTTTTTTGTGATCAAAGCATTGCTACAGTAATGGACGAAACCCTACCATGGATGAAAAGGGGTTAAAATAAAAGATGCAAAACTAATACTATCATTAAAATGTATAAAGCGTATATTCGCCCCTAATAGAATATGGCTCTCAAATCACCTACAATATGCCTAAAAATATCGTTAAATCTCTCCACCTCCAGCAAAACAGAGTTCTAAGATTAGCTCAAAATTTGTCCCTATCAATTATATGCACAAAGCTTGCAACAGTTCATTATTTAAAGACAGACTAAAAACACTAGCCCACAAATATTACCAAACAGCAGAAACAAGAAATACCTTAATTGCTAAGATACACACCTTGACTAGTGCCCCACACAAAACAATATCTCCATACAACATATACATGGCCTCCAAAACACCCTAAAACAACCTCTGATAAAAACTTAATTTTATGTATAAGCTAATAATTTCTTGTGTTTTTCTTATTAAAGCACTTGGCACAGGATAGGTAGAATATTTGGCACTTGTCTTGTGAAAGTGGGTTTTCTCGGGGGTACTCCCGTTTCCCCCCACAGCAAATTCAAAAGCACTTGGATTTAATGATCCCAGTCGTGGCATTGGATTTACAGATCCCAGCCACCCCGTGACCCTGATGATGGGAAATTTGTCGATTGTTTTGTCAAAAGTGCATCACCTCACTTCATCTCTACAACGTCACATCAATGACCTTGGTCATCTTCTCTTCTCTGACCTGGAACCAGCCAGTCATTTTTTTAAAATTTTTAAATACCAATAGTCAAAAGTAGAACTAACCTCTCCTACAAAATTTAAAAAATCTCATGAATATAACAAATAAAATTACCACGAGTAGGGCAAAGGGGGATAATAATATCCCTGACCACTCCAGTTGAGGAAAGTTTCTTTCCTTTAAAAACTAAATTCCTGTTGCCAAAAAGAAAAAAAAGGGGGGGGGGGTAAAAGGAATTGTTTCTGTATTTTAGTTTTTTCTTGTAGGAATGTGCTTTCAAGTTTCTATAAGCAATCTCTCCTTAATTTTTAATGATGGATTGCAGTTTTGGAGCTCATACATTGTTATTTTAACTTCTGTGGAATCTAGAGTTAACAGTTTCATTAGTTTTAAGATATTTTCTATGCTATCTTCAGGTAGCCTTAAAAAAAATAGCTTAATATACAGATTCATTACATATATGATTCATTACAGATTCATTACATATATTTGATATAACCATGGAAGCTTAACATTGATGGTAGCTTTTTCGTAAGCTATGGTTCCAATATGAACACTCATCTCCATACACAGATAGCTATTATCCTCTTGAAGTCCTGCTTTCTGCCTGAGACACTTGCCACCAGCCTTGTGAAAAGTCACATGAAAACACATGTATTTGCACCACTGCATGATGACGTATCATGCAACTAAACCTCCCACCAACAGGAGTGCAACATACCTCTTTGCACAAATCCTCCCTCTACATTTGCACATGAAAATCTTTATTCTTTAGCACTTACAATGACCAATTTATCAACAATTCTGAAAGTTCCTTGTCTGTTGAAGATGTTACAATCATAGTTAAGCATATAGTGGGGTCCATGATACAACCAGGACCCTCTTCTTCTGCCCCTGCCTTACATTTCTCTTCACTTGATTTTGAAAATGAAGAACATGTTCAGGTTTACAAGAACTCAGTACCCAGGTGTGTACCATTCTTTCTCTATTTCCCATAAGTTATGATGCTTCTCATTCTCTATTACATAAGTCTCACAAATTCCTTGTTTTTCCACCCTCTCCTGGTATTTCCACCCATGCTAACTCTTTTCACAATTAGCTTCATTCACGAGTATTATGCCAAGTCCTCCACATCTAAGAGATTCCTACCTTCTTACCTATAGTTACTCTCCCTTTCCTGGACACTCAAGTCTTGGAGTCTCCTTTGCCAGTCTGGGGAAAGACTTTTTGTCAGACATGTTTCTGTCTGATGCTTAATTTGCCTGACTTTGTGCATTCCTTATTACCCTTTGTTACCTCTTCACCTCATGATGGAGTTCATGACCCTTCTCTGGGTTATTACTCTTACCTCATCATTGCTCCCAAAATGATGGGAGATTGGCGCCTGATCATTAAACTCACATTAAAGTCATACCTCACTTTTGGATAGAGACCTACTTCTCTCACTGCTAGTCTTTCCAACCAGGCCTGTGGATGACCAAGGAAAAAGTGTCTGACACAATTTTACTTCAGGTTTGTCCATGTGGATTGTGTCTTTCAGTCTGTGCCCTTCCACTCAGAATAGTGTTAGTCCCATATGTGTACAATTACATTATGTGGGCTTTTGCTTGCCATCTACACTGCCTGGGACTCAGGTTCCACTTCCACATAGATAACTGACTCCTCATCTCTTGTTTCCAGGAGGAATACTCAGGTCAAATTTCACTTATTCTTAATGAAGCCACTCGCTTGGGATGGCTTATCAGGATTTCCATTTCCTTCCTAACCCAAACCAATATCTTATTCACCCCTGAATACTTTTTAACTCTTGCCTCAGTTGTGTCCAACCTTCTCCTTACCATCTCTTAGACCTCTAGAGTCTAGTCACAAAGTCCATACCTTTCCTTCTGCATGGAAGGTTCTATCTCATTTGGGGATTATGGCTCCTCTGGCACCTCTCATTTCACTTGGCTATGCATATGCACCTCCAACAGTTGGTCCTGTGTGACTAATGAAACTTGTTCATGGATCCACTGTCCTCATGGGTTCTCCTTCATCTCCATCTCCTGGAGGATCTTGCCTTGTGGCTGGACTGCTCAAACACCACCACATGTGTTCCCTTACCCTCCTCCCAAGCCTGACCTAAGCCTTTTCACTGATGCACATCTCATCAGGTGGTGAGCATCCCTGAATGACTCTCTCATTTCAGATACCTGGACGTCAAAGGAATGTTATCTCCACATCAACATCCTAGAACTGCTTGCAGTTCAATGGGATTGCTCCCATTGTCCATTGAAACTAGGATTCTGTTGATCAGAATCTAAGTGAAGGGGTAAGTAACCATTTTCCAGGTTTGGTAAGGTAAAAATCACATGGTTGGGTCTTAGTTGTACAGTTAGGTGGAATAGAAGCAGGTTTTGCTTTTAGAGTAATTGTCCAAATGTACACTATGCTAATGAAAGACTGCTGGTACACAAATTGTACCCTATGTTACACATTTAAATGCTCTTAAAATTGTATATATGATGGAAAGTACCATAGCAAATTCGATTGAAAAAGTATGTCAAACAATAAAATACAACTGCCTGAAAAACACATTCATGCAGATAAAACACATTGTGGAGACCCATGTTGATTATTTAAGGAAAGAAAAACATCCCCTTTGTTAACATATGGTTAGTATGAGGGAGCAGTGATAACTACAAACAATATAACACCACACAAAATAATCACCACCATCATTCTTATTTGAATAACATCATTAACACAATATCTCTTAATGTCCAGAATATGATGTATTGTTTATGACACAGTTTATGTTTTAGCTCTAATTTTAGTACAAGTTTTTCATTACCAGTTAACTCTTGAACATGCATGTCTATGATGCAGTTAAATATAAAACATTGTTATTTATTAAATTATTGTTTATTAAACAGAAATGGTTAATTTTGGGATATATATATTGCCCAATAGTGTTATTGTTAGCAGGAAGCCAGTCTTTGTAAATTCATCTGACTCTACAAAAAGATGCAAACTGTAAGTGCTGCACTTAGTAACGCAAACAATTTTTTGTATTTTATTTTATCCTTACAAAATACTTGTATTTGATGCATATATTATAATAGTTAATTTTGGTGTGAATAAATTAAGTTTTATGCACTTCATTTCTTTATAGCCTGAACATTATGGTATTGATTTTCATTATTATTCATTTCTAAAATACACTTCAGTAGTTTCTTGATGTGGTTTTTTTTTAGGTGACATGAGATAGGAACAAAGCAAAAGTTCTGTGATATTTATAGTCATTAGACCATATGTTAATTGACTTATAAGAACTGTGTATAACATAGTGAAATCTCAGTAGAATATTACTTCTCTGAAAAATAGTTTTGATAGTGCATTTGGTTAAACTTGACTACCATCTGTAAAAAAATACCATTATTTTGGTTCATATATATTTATAGATAATTGACATTATGTCTCAGGTGTGTGGGTGTCAGTTAAGCTTCTAACTTGTGTAAAACATAAGCTAGTATCTTTAAAAAATATTATCTAACTTGGTGCTTGGAAGTTATAACATTCTCTTAAATTCACAGTGCTGGTGATGAAGAGTGTGATACGACTTCAAATCATTCCAAAGTAGATGATTCTTTAGTAACACTTCTGAGTAGTAAGTATTTACTTGCAAGTCTTTATGTTAAATTGCTACTACTTTTGGATAATAAGTGTATGTTGGTAATTGTATAAAAATGTAGGTAACTATAACTTAACCATAGAATTATATTTTTCCAATACGGTACGCTACCTCCACTAACATAAATAGCTGTTCTCGTTCAGTGAAGCCCTCTATATGCAAAATTTTTTACACGTGCCACAAGCATTTTATCTCCCCTCCATTGGATTTGACTGATTACAATGCGTCTCATGCAAATCATCATCATGCATCAACCCTCCACCAATAATAGTGCGACATACTCTCATAACGCATGTGACTCCCTCTATTCATTTCTACCGAACTATCACTTCTCATTTGGCAATGTAGACGTTTTTTCTTTTAGTGTTCTTCGTGTGAATAGTGATTTTGCAGTTTAATTTATGAAATGGAATTGCGTCATTATTATTTTTTTCTTTACATTGAAGAAATTTTTTAATTTTATTTAATTTCCCAGTCTTTATTCTTTTTTCTCACATTTGCATATTTTATGTCAAACACTTTTGTTAGACTTACATATTTCTACAATGAATTCTGAGGTTCATGTTCCCACTTTGAGTGTTATACCTCTAGCACTATTTTCACAGGCTGCAAGTGGGGGAGACCCGTCATTGGATTTCTTTGCTGTTATCCATCGTGAGATTGATCGTTATGTGGGTCAACCTTCTTCTCCTGAACTTGCCCCACTAATCCTCCTGAACAAGCCAAACCTGTTCGGGCCGATGAAGATTTGATAGCCTTTTTACACCACCGAATGTTGCCGTATCTATCCCAACCTGGCCTGTGGAATCAGCTAGGCCTAATATGGCATTCTTCAACATGATTTCTCAGGTATGTTATGTTTTATCCAAAATCGACATTTTTCTATGATTCCATATTACCTCTATGTAGGCTTGTTTGTTGTCTTTGGCTCTCGCTTTACACACATGGTTTCACTGTTGTTGGGATCTTCTGGGTCACAATGTGACCTTATCCCAATTTCATTTGCCATCTCTTTCTTTTCGGGATGTCCAAATATTTTTTTGGGCAATATGTTTTCGACCATGTATCTGAGACTTTGGAATCTTGTGTTTAATCTGTGAGTCAACACTATACCCCTTAGGTCAGGCTCATATGTGGGCTCTTTTGTCAGCTTTTCATGACCAGTGGAATCTTGAAGGGATTCTTTGTTGGCTCTTATTACCCTTCCCCCTACTCTTGTTGTTGTTGGGCGGCATTGGTGGTTAGATATGACTCGCACATTGGCAGGTGTTCCGCTTCCTCCTCCTCATCCAGATTTCCACATTTCATGGATGCATCCCTTTGGGGATGAGGGGGGGCGTGGGTTATTCAATAGGAAGCATTGGGGTTTTGATTTGCAGCCGAGAGGTCTTATCCTATAAACTTCCTGTAGCTTCTCGCTGTAAGTCATGTTTTGGTTCATTTTCTCCATCTTGCCAGAAATCATCTGGTAATGATCCATTCCAACTTTTCTTCAGTGGTTCCTTATCTCAATCGTCAGGGCAGCATCCATTCTCCATTCCTCTGTATTCATATGTTTTATCTTCTTTTTGTGCCCACATGCTCACTATTCATATCATTATGTGTCATGTTCTGGGTGCTTTCACTCTTGTCATGGATTGAATTCCTGTCCAGACAACATTTATCAATCAGAATGGCCTCTCAATCATTTTTCTTCTGTGGCTTTGACTTCAGTGGGGTATTCCTCTTTTTGAGGCTTTTGCTATGTTTCTTAACCACAAATTGGCTTGGTTTTGGTCTCTGGTTCCTAGTCTTCTTGCTCTAGCTATCCATGTTTTCAGCCAGGACTGGACCAATGCATTTGTCTATCCTCCTGTTCTCCTTATTCTCTGGGTAATTCGTTCATCCTTGACTCTCTGTGTTCTGTCCTTCTGATAGCTCCTTCCTGGCTGTGGTTTCTGCAACATCTTCAGCTCCAACTTCTTCCCCTATTACCTTTTCCTCTGACTCTGTCCCTTTTTTGCCACCCACAGACACCAGGGTTTCATCCGGATCTTCCTGACCTCGATCTTCACACTTGGTTTTCCTCTGGTAATTGGCAAGGTGATCTGGCATTTCCGACGGTTGGCCTCTTTTATGACTTTTTTTCATTCGCCCTTCCTACATGGAAGTTTCTCAATCCAAATGGAAATTTTCTGTCAATGGTTTCTGGATCCAGGGTTTCCCCCTGCTTAACCCACTGTTTTTCGTCATACAGATTTCCTCACTTGACTTTTGGATTGAGGCTTTTTTGTCTCCTCGGTCTCAGACTTGCGAGTGGCCCTGTCCCACACTAGTCATTTTTCCCAATCCCACAGGTATTTACCACTTTACACTTTACCTGTGGATGTGTTCCTTCCGGATTTGTCATCCACCACAGCGGGCTGTCTTTCTGGATCTGGATATTAATGTGGTCCTGCATGGCCTCACTTTGCCTACATTCAAACCACTCTCCCAGTGCTCCTTGTTTCATCTTCCCTTATGTCTTCCTTCCTTTTCCTGTTCACCTGTGGACATTGGTTGTATGTTTATTTGCCATCGATGTTTCATGTGCTTTTTATCCTTCTACATATCTTCTCCTTTCTCTGGATCATTTTTCCTCCCTAACACTCTGGTGGATCATGAGGACAACTCCTCCATTTAGTCACTTTCCATTCCTTTCATTTCACACCTTTATCCTCGTTCTGATCCGGATAGATTTCTATGTTCTGTTATGGTGTCAGTTCCAGCCTCCTTCTTCCTTGGCAGCTTTCCTCTGTTTGTGATCTTTTTCCTTCCACCTTTGCCAGTTGGGTTTGACTCTTCAATCTATTGGCTTCTTCCTCTTTATCAACTTCCTCTCGTATTTTGTCCCGAGTGTCTTCTCATCCAAAATCGACACCTTCCCTATTCATTGGCATTTCATCTTCACCGTCCTTTTGAGGTACTTTTTCAATCAGGCATGTGGACTACCCATGATACATAAGTCTCTCATTACTTGCATCAGATCATGGTTTTCTTCCTTTTCGAGCGATCGTCTACCACCTGTAGCCATTCTAAAATATCAGAATTCAGTGAGACTTTGACTGGGTAAGTTATTTTTCTCTTATGTTTCATTTTCAGAGGCCCATTTCCCTTTAATAATTGCTCATTGTTTAGATCCCACTCTGTGGCAAGTGGTGCCTGACCAGGTCTTCTTTAACAGATCAAATCTGCACTGTAAGGCCATGTTGACTAACATATTATATTTCTATGGCCACGTAATGCACACTGCAGAAATGGGATGTTCCACAAGATCACTTGTAGGTTTATCCTCGTGATGGAATTTTAACAAAAAACTTTGTCTGTCCAGGACTGTACTCACCTATAGACTACATTGGTAAAGCAGAAGGGGATAGCTGTCCATCCCTGCTATGCCTTGTATTGAATAAATTGATATGGTCTGCTTTTAAAAAATAGGTTTTTGTGGTCACCCATTGCACTATTTCAGGTGTTATCGTTCCTCTGGACTCTCCATTGCATTCCCCCCCTTTCCAGTTCCAAGCCACTGGGATTGTGGACCATAGAGGCATCGTCCTGAATGGGTTAATGAAATACAAATACAAACAAAATATAAAGTTGATTATACAATCATTCAGTTGAGAGTAGGGTGGTGGTGTTCTGCTGATGTAGATGATGTGATATCCTACAATATGAAGTGCAAATAAAACTAGGAGTGGGCCATCAAAATTGTAATTCACCCCTTTGATTGGGATCCCTCATCATACCACCACGTGGGTATCAGTTCCCAGTGACTGGGTTTTGGATTTAGAGTTGAACCAATCAACACAAGTCCTCACACATGTATTACAGATGTCTGTATTCCTCCCTCTTTTATACTCTTATTACTCCATCAGTGTTGTGGTCACGGTGGAGGTAATTGTAGGTTATTATGGTTATTCCCCTTCCGCTATCCCTCAATACTTGTTATCCTGAGGATGTTACTGTGCCTGGGGTGGTTATGGTCAATTTCAATTTTGAGGGAAATGATTTACATTAAGTAGACATCTTTTCAATATTGGATGTCGGGTTCCCGGATCAATTTATCAATTATTTATATATTAACATGTGCCCGTTGATGGGTCTGGGGTTCTTGATTCCCTCTGACCTCATGATCTTGAGTTGAAGATGGTATGATCCTCTTTCCTACCCCCACCAGATGGCTAGGTTTTGGATTGTAGTCAACTTGCTGGTGGTATGATCCCCTTTCCTACCCCTGCATGGATGTTGGTACCCAGTGTCCGGGTTTTGGTTTGTAGTTGACTAGCTACCATTATGATCCTCTTTCCTACCCCCACATGGATGTTGGTTCTCAGTGGCCTGGGTTTTGGATTGTAATTGACTTACTGATGATATGATCCTCATCCTACCCCTATGTAGATGTCGGTTCCCAGCTGCATTGGTTTTGGATGTAGTTGACTTACCATGTATGGTCTGTCACGCCTTAGCCACTCTACACCTAGGACACATCCTTTTCATTTTACCCACATTTATAATTTCTGGGATAGAGTTGCATAAATATTATATGATTTGGATCACGTGGATGTGATCCTCTGATTTCTCATATGTGAGACATCCTTCTGTGATGGGCGAAGAGTATACCTGGTTCAGAAGTGGTATGGTTCCCCCACATCAGATCTTTGAATTTGACTATCTCCTCTGTTATCTTATGTACTCTTATGGAGTATCCTTCAGATACTTTTGAAAGATACTTTTTTTTCTTTCCCTCTCACAGGTCCCTCCACCTATTCAGTGTGGGATTCTAGCTATTTATGTGAGTGGAGGTAAAGTACCGTATCGAAAGTTATAATTTTCCTTCACTGAAAATGTATTTCTGATAGGTACTTACCTCCTCTCACACTTCCTACCCTTTTTCCCCACTGTAGACCGATGTTTCCATCTTCTGCCAAAACTCAAAGTGATAGTTCAGTAGAATTGAATAGAGGGAGTCACGTGCTTCATGCAAGTATATCACACTCTTATTAGTGGAGGGTTGACTCATGATGATTTGCATGAGAAATGCATTAGAATAAGTCAATTCCAATGGAGGGGAGATAAAAGGTTTGTGGCATGCCTAAAATTTTTTTTCATATAGAGGGCAGTACTGAACAAGAATAGCTATTTATGTGATGGGAAGTAAGTGCCTATCAGAAATACATTTTCAGTGTAGAAAAATTATGACTTTCATGAATAAAATTATTGAAATTACATTTTGTTCTGTTATACACTAGATATATACTCAAAGAAAAATATTATTTGTGAAATGTAAAGGAAAACAGTTTATCAAACACAGTGCAAATATCAGTGTACTGTGGATGTTTTACTTCTCATACTTTATATTATGTCTCTTTGATAAATCGACACAAGTTTTATTTCATTAATACTTTCCTATGACATTCTTTTGATACTTTTATTGCAAGTAAGCTCAGAATAAGAGAATATTAATTGCAAAATGTGTAAATGATTGTAGTTTCAGGTCTGCTCTAGAAGATATTTGTAAAATTAGTCTTCAGTTTTATTTTCAAATTCTTAGAAAAATACTTTTTATGCCTTAAACTGAAATAATTATCAGTGTTTTCTCAATTACACCATCTTATGGAAAATGCTCAAGAAATCCTCTTAAAAATAAGTTTCTTTTTACATTTATATTAAATTTGGAGAGTGTAAAAATAGTGGTTGAAATTTTTTAAATACTTTTTTCTCAAAGGAAATTCAAAATTCTTTGCTATGGTAAGTTTTTTTCTACATTTAGATGACTCCACGTCTGAATCTGAATAGCAAAATTTTGATGATTGTTTATGGTTTCAAAATTATTTTTTTTTGTGGCTATATTTTCGATTTAAAAACAAAACAGTCTCTCTGTAAAAATCTTGTATGTGATCATTGTTCTTTAGCTTTCAAGAAAAAAAACTGGAGTAATTTTATGATAAAACAAAAATGTTGAGAAATAAAAAATTCTGTCCATGTTTCAAAAACAAATTGGGTAAGCAGGAATTCCAAAGAAGTGAAAACTAAGACTTATTGATCATTGACCTTGTACTCATTTAGACAAGATTCTCACTCAGATAAATGAGGGAGTGAAACATTGGTCTGAAAGTATAGTAAAAACATGGAAAATTCAAGACATCTTCTCAAAGAATCAAAAACATAGCTATACTGAAAAATATGATTTTCACAGAAAAAAAAAAAAGAAAAACTGTTGAATGTGTGGATCATATGCAGTTGGCAGGTATAGGACCACAAGCTTATTTTTCATTTTTAATTTATCAGGTGTGAAAATTATTCAGTGTTTTATATCAACTTCTTTTTATCAGGGCAGCGATCCCTGAACAGTAGTGTCAACCATCTCTTGACAAGAGACAGACTTACGACTTTCAACAGTACACCACCTTCGTCCATAGACTTAGAATGGGATGATGAAGCAGGTACTTGTGAGAGAATTTGACCTCCATTTGTTTCAAAGAAAGTTATTTTTTCCATTAGTTATTAAGTTTGGCATTGTTAAACCATATCACATACTAAGCAAGTTTTGAGATACCTTATAAAGCTACAAAACAATCTTCTAATGTAAATAAGTAGTTTAATGTTCTTATTCTATAGGCATAATGTAAGTAAAACAATTTTTTATGCATACCTTGTAATTAATACTTGTTTCACTTTCTCAACTAAGCTATGATCTTTCAAACGTCCTTGTTAGATTAATGTTAACCTTCTTAGGTTTTAAAGAGTAGTTGTCTGGAATGTAATGTTGTCTGTGACTTATATAAAAAAAAGTCAATGTATCAAAAATAAAATATGCCATTTAAAAGAATGTTGCTTGGTTATTAATGTGCCAAATACTCTTGCAAAATACACTTTTCACCTGTTGCATTGAAAATATACGTAAAAAAATTGAATCTGTTAACAGCATAAATAAATCCTAACTGATACAGAAAAATACTGGAACTGACTCTGAAAAAAACACTTATAAAAATTATTTTGCTTAGATGGACTTTTATTCTTTAGTAGACTAATAACTTATGTTTTTTATCCTTATCTATATAATTAGATTATTTTAGTACTTAGGAAGTTATTAGAAAAGTTTTGTAATATTCTGTTTTTGTTATATTTGATTTTTGAGGTATTGTTAGAAATTAAAAACCAGTTCCAACATATACAGAAGTATTGCAGCTGCTTTCGTAAAAAGTGAAAGAAGACTTTTAATCTAATGTGAGTTCTGGCAAAGCTTCTCAACCCAGTTGATAATAAAAACAAATCTGTATATATAAAAACCAGAGTTATTTGGTTTCTTGAAGTCACGAGTTGTTATGAGAAACTCAGGTGGATCATCCCAAAGATTAACTATAAATGGATGAGCAATTGAACAAATATTTTGAATTTGGTTGCCATTTCAATTTTTATTTTGTGAAGTCAACACCAAGCAAAGTGATGCTTACTATACAGAGTATAGGTACCTTTGTTGATCACCATATTCAGTAGACTTGCACATGAAACCAACAGAATAAATGCTGTGCAAATTGTGGATACATTTGCTGGTAATTAATAATTAGAAAACCAGACTCATATGTCAAGAATAATATTCACACACGTTACGGTCATAACATGAGATTTTAGGTTTCACTGAGTCCATTTTTAGGTGAATAAGCATCTAGTTAGTACATCAATAATAATGAAAAAGTTCTAGGGTAAGTAACAGTTTACATACTAAACTAACCTGATTTAGTTCTGTCCTCAGTATATAAATCAATAGGTGCTTTTCCAAAACATACTTACTTCCCTCACACATACCACGTGCCTTGAACATAGCTCCCACCCTCCATGTGTCAACATGTATTGTGCCAGCCTATGATAGGATAACATATCCTCTGTCTGTAGTAAGCCCCATTAGCACTATCACATGTACATAGGCTCATTCTTGTTGAGGCAAAATAAAGGCAGATGGTGCAGTCAGATGTGTATCTATTTGAAATACATTTCCAAGTAAGAAAAATGTTAACTTCAGGAGCATTACTCACCTTTCTGCACCACATAAATCTATAACCCCACAATGAAGTGGTGCAGGGACCAGTGCACAAAGAGAATTTCCAAAACATATATACCTCCGCTCACACTACAGCTGTTACTCGACTGCCAAGGTTTCTTCTTTTGCCCATTTAAGCATTGGTCTGATTTTTTTCTGACTTGCTCCAGTCTTTTATACCCCACTCAATTGCCCTTGGCAATATTTATCTTGGTACTCTCCACCTATGTCAGCACTCTCCCTCTATCCTGCAACTGTATTTAAGCACTTCGTTCAGATATTATCACTTTTTCTTGACAAAGTGTCACTAACGGGTTTCCCAGTATTATGATCAATCAGAGATACTTTGAATGTTATCTGTGTTATCTAGTTGATTTTTGTAATAATAATAATTATTACAATTAAAAAAATTTCGAATGGCAAGCCGATTTACAGTATGAATTCCCAGATTATAATTTCAGGCAGGAGGCAAATTGGTTCTCTCCTGTCCCATCTCTGATATCTAAGGAGGGTGGGTCACTCATTTGAGACTGTCAGTGATCTTATTGGTAGTGAGATAGAGACATATATTTGGTTCTGTGGTGTTCCTCCGGGGAGCTCTGAGGCTGCAATTGAGGGCAATCTTCAACATTCTGGAGAGGATTTAGATTCGCTTTTTTCTGCACCTTTTTTAGTCTGCTGGCTTTTCAGTCCCCCTGTGGAACAGCGATGAAGTTTACGGATTTACAATACTGTGGTCTGGGATTCAACTCCCTATAGTGGACACAACAGATGGCTCAACGTTGCTTTGCTCTAACAAAACAAACTTACCTGACCAAATGTTGTTCCAATCAACAGTAATCAACACAGTCTTTAAATGACATATAAAACCAAACATGAGGCCACTTTGGGATAAACTGCTTTTGATTTGTTTTCTTCAGTTGGTTAATCGAGAGTGTAATGTTTTGTGTCTTTCCGTGGTTGCTTTTGAGCTTGCACCTTAACTGATGGCTGAAATGTCTGGGAGCAAATTTTTAGTTTTCTCTCCATCCACATACATTGTGGTTCGAGGGAGGAGTTTGTAATTAACCTGAATAGATCAATGTCTCCTGAGAGGACAGGGTCAATCCCCGGACTTACAACTCTAAAATCTAACAATTTGTTTTCCTTTCATTGCACTTTGTTGGAAGACTCTCAGGATTACCAACTTCATTGAAAAGCTGGAACCATTGTTAGCATGCACAGTGATTCAGTTGTTGGATTTTACATTCATCCTTGTTGTCATTAGCATCTTGATTTTTATTGGCTCTTACAGGGGCTCATAGTTCCACCTCTATTCGTGAGTCCTGGACCCCGTCATCAGCCCCTCTGTCATTTGTACCAAGAATAGTCTATAGCAAAGGGTTATGCTGCTTGGTCAGATCACCACTGATGTTGT